CCGGGCTGGGGATTCGAACCCGCCACCTTAGGTGTACGTGGCTGGCGCCTTAGCCGGTTGAGCTATAGGCGCCGAGCCGACGCTATTTCTTAAGTAAATGAATTTTAGGGAGCCTGGGAAGAGGAGCAGGAAGGTTGGGAACTGTCAGCAGGTCTGGAGCCGGGGAGAGTGAGTTTGAGAGAATTGTAGTGGTAAGTGTGAATGAAGTAGAAGGCTTTCCTGATGCATACGTGCCTGACTCGGTTTGGCGTAAGTAATATGGGAGTGCATCAGCTCACAAAGCAGGAAGTTAAGTGGTGAGGCCAAATGCGTAGATTCACTGATCCAACAGTGCCATTAGGACCTGAGATGTTTCCATCTCACTGCTCTGCTGTCCCCACCATTGACTTCAAACTGAAGCTAGTTCTGCTCATACAACAATCCAACAGGCACCATTAAGATACATCTCCCCTGCAGTGCCTGTGGCTCAGTGGATAGGGCGCCAGCCCCATATACCCAGGGTGGCTGGTTGGAACCCGCCCAGCCAAACTGTAACAAAAAAAAATGGCCAAACTGTAACAAAAAAATAGCTGGGCCTTGTGGCGGGAGCCTGTAGTACCAGCTACTTGGGAGGCTAAGGCAAGAGAATAGCTTAAGCCTGGGAGGCTTGTGAACTGTGAAGCCATGGCACTCTACTGAGGGTGATAAAGTGAGACTCTGTCTCTAAAAATAAGTAAATAAATAAATAAAAACATTTTTTAGGCTGGATGCAGTGGCTCACACCTGTAATCCTAGCACTCTGGGAGGCCAAGGCTAGTGAATCCCTTGAGCTCAGAGTTTAGGACCAGCCTGAGCAAAACCAGACCCTATCTCTACTAAAAATAGAAAAACTTGCTGAATGTTTTGGCAGGCACCTGTAATCCCAGCTACTCAGGAGGCTAAGGCAGAAGGATCTCTTGAGCCCAAGAGTTTGAGGATGCTGTGAGCTATAATGCCACAGCACTCTACTGAGGGGAACTGAGAGAGACTCTGTCCCAAAATGAATAAATAAATAATGAATAAATAATAATTAAAATTAAAAAATGAATTTTAACTGGGTACTGTACCCTGCACTACAGCTAGGGTGACAGAACAAGAACCAGTTTCTTTTTTTTTTT